AGATGTACCTTGAATTGCCAAGCCTGTCAAGAATTTCATCAACCCGCGGCATCGGGTATGCATCAAATGAAGACACCTTGTTCAATTCTCTATAATCAATACATATTCTCAGCGATCCATCTTTTTTTGGAACAATCACTACTGGAGCTGCCCATTCACTATTTGAAGGCTGAATGATTCCCATCTCTTCCATTTTTTCGATTTCCGTCTTGATTTTCTCATACTGTGACTGTGGCAGACGATACGGCCTCTTCCTAACTGGTTTTGCATCTCCTGTGTGAATCTGGTGTTCTACTACTGTTGTTTTTCCAGGGGAGTCTTTCAAAACGGTTGCGAATCTTTGTAGTAGGACATGCAATGTTCTTGATTGGCTGTCACTAAGATCTTCCTCAATTTTTACTGCTTCCCAGCCATCTTTAGAAAATTCGTTGTTTATAGAAGGTGCCACTAAGTCATTCTCCTCTTGATCTTCTGAGCTATTTTCCCTCTCTGCAATCCAGTAACTCACGTCCACAGCCGTATGTTTTGGACTCAACATATTGACATGAAATATCCGAAATCTTCTTCTCCTGTTGGCCATATCTATCTCGTAGTCTACCGGACCAACTTGTCTCTTCACTTTGTACGGTCCTTGCCACTGTGCTTGTAACTTGTTTGTACTTGTTGGCAGCAATACAAATACTTCATCTCCCTCTTTGAAGATTCTGACCCTTGATTTCTTGTCATACCAGGTCTTCTGCTTTCGTTGGGCTGTGCTTAAATTTTCCTGTACTATCTTCATCATTTTTGAAAGGTTTTCTCTCATCTTCAACACGTAGCTAACTACGTCCTCTGGTACCTTTTCGTTTGACTCCCACGTCTCTTTCAGTATGTCCAGTGGCCCCCGAACTTGTCGACCATAAAGAAGCTCAAATGGTGAGAACCCTGTTGACTCTCCTGGTACCTCGCGATATGCAAAAAGCAGATAAGGTAGCATTTTGTCCCAATTCGGGTAATCGTTTGTAGCAGCTTTCCTCAGCATGTTCTTAAGCGTTCCGTTGAATCGTTCACAAAGCCCGTCTGTCTCTGGATGGTAGGGACTGGTTCGAATAGATTTGACACCGATCATCTTGTAAACCTCCTGCAACAGCTTTGACATAAAATTCGAACCTTGATCAGTCAGGATCTCTTAAGGAACACCAAAACGACTTATAGGCTTTACCAGTTCCTCTGCCACACTCTCCGCATCTATGCTTCTAAGTGGAACTGCCTCCGGGTATCTTGTTGCATAGTCACAAATAACTAAAATATACTTGTGTCCTGCAGCACTTCTCTCTAATGGGCCAACAATATCCATTGCAATCCTTTTGAAGGGAGTATCAACGATAGGCAACGGTACCAACTTGGCACGATTACTCTTTCTTCTTGGAGATGTCCGCTGGCAAATTTCACATGATCTGCAGTACTCAGCAACATCGTGGAACATCCTGGGCCAATAAAATCTTTGCAATATTCTTGCTGTAGTTTTCTTCCGTCCAAGGTGGCCAGCCAGAGGGATATCGTGGGCCAGCTGTAGCACTGTCTTGCGGCATTGATATGGCAATACAAGCTGCTCTATTACGCGATAATCCTCAAAATTTCCATCTGGGCACCATTGGCGAAATAATATGCCTTCCCTCTCTATAAACCTCACCTTGCCATTTAATGATGACTTCAACTGCGCATACTCCTTACATTTATCCAATGTTGTGTCATTCCCCTGCATTTCTCTTATCTCTGCGGCGCTCCAACTGAAATTCTTCATCTCTAAACTTCCTTCATTTTCGTCATTTGTATTTATCTTTGCTGTTTCCGCCGTCTGTACTTCTTTTGACCCAGACAACGATTCAACTGTCCCCTCGGTATTGTCGTCTCTATCCACATCTCCAGTTGAAGAATTTATCTCGTAATTTACATCTGAAGTTTCCTCTGATTGATTGCCTTCTCCGCTAGCGTCGCTGAAAGCCCGCGCTTTTGCACCCGAGCAGATCTCCCTGGCCAACTGTGTCGCCTCTTCTTGTTCCCGTGCTTTTTCCTGTGCTCTGGTCACTACTATAAAAGCTTCAATTTCATCCCTCTCAAACTTCTCATCATTTACAATGTCCATGCCTAACAGAACCGGTCTTGGAAGATTCGGAGACACCACAACCCTTTGCAAGAATACTTTGTCTTGAATCTTTATGCTAACTTCGGCAGTCGGGTAGCTGACATAATCACCATGTGCGCATTGTATATCAACTCTGGTTTCCTCATTGACTTTGCCTTCTGGTATCAAGTCTTTGTGCACAAGTGTCCTTGAACAGCCAGTGTCGACAAGAATGTCTACCGGTCTCCCTTCTATTTCCCCTCTGCAGCTGAAAGCCTTTAGAATTTTACCAACTGAATGCTCTCCAAAGTCCAATGATTGTGCTGATCTGATCAACTTGTCTTTATGTTTAACATAATATCCCGTATATCTCCCTCTGTTGTTGTTGTTGTGGGCCTGATTTGACGGACAATGCAGAGCAATGTGTCCTGGTCTCCCGCACTTAAAACACTGAATTGTCGAGCTCCTTGTAGGTGTATGTTGTATTGTATCGTTTTCAGGCTTTCTTTTGCCTACTGGTACCGTCGTATCTGCTTGTTTTGGTACAGGGCAGTTCTTTAAAATATGGCCAGTCCTTTTACAACCATGACATCTAATTTCTTGGGTACCCTGTCCCCTGATTGTGGCCTTTCGTGCTAACAGGTAATCGTCAGCCAATATGGCAGCTTCTTCTGATGTTGTAGGCTTTCGCTCTCTGATCCAAATTTGTAGCTCTAATGGCAGAGAACTTAGTAGCTGCTCCAATATGATAGCATTGGAAATCTGCTCCTTTGAACTTGTAGAGGGATGTACCCACTTGCAGTATAGATCACGCAGTTTCACCTCCAGTTCAGTGCAACTCTCCTCGTTCCTTTTCCTTGTGGCTCTAAATCTCTGACGATAGGTTTCTTCATTAATATCGTACCTCCTCAAAATGGCTTTTTTCACTTCTTCGTAAATGCGAGACTTCTCTGGGTCCATGTTGGCATACGCGGCTTGTGCTTTTCCAGAGAGCAATGGTGCTAATTTCACCGACCAAACCTCTGCTTTCCATCCATATGTTTCCGCTACACGCTCGAATGTGGTGAGAAAATGCTCTATATCGTCATCTTCACAGAGCTTTTTAAGAGCAGGCTTCCCAAGGTTTATCATTGGTTCTTGTCCCTGGCTGGATAAACTGAGTTCTGCGAATTTCTCTAAAAATTGCCTTCTCTCGTTGTCAGCTTGTGCTTCCCACGCAAGTTTTCTTTCCTCCTCTCTGGCCAACCTTTCCTCTTTCTCTCGCTCACGATTTACCTTTTCCAGTTCTCTTGCTTTAATTTCTCTCTCCCTTTCTCGCTCTCTGGCTTCCCGCTCTTCATTCTGAAGACGAATAATTTTCTCCAACTGGGCCTTCTCCTCTTGTTTTCGCTGCGCCTCTTGTGCCTTTACTTGCTCTTCTATGTCGGATTGCTTTTTTCCAAGTGTGGCTATTAGTTGCATAAACTGCTCGTCTCTCTTTCGATCCTGCTCCTCTCTATAGAGGCGCTCTTTTTCTTCTTTTTCTGTCATCCATTTAAGTATTTCTAAAACTGCTCGACTTTCCCCTCGTTCTTCGCTTGTATGCTGGGCTCCTTCTTGCCTTTTCCCTCGTCTTCCTTCGGCTGCCATGGTACTATTCCAACACACCACAGTATTTCAAACCAAATTAAACAGTTTTTACTCCACTTACGTGATCCTCGCCTACCGAAGTATTTTTCCTCGGCGATAAATGACCCCACTTCTGGTACCAAAATGTCGTGAACTCAATATTGCTTCGAACGCAACAACTACATGAACAGTCCACGAAGCAAGAAATAGACCTTTTTAATTTTACCACGCCGATATAATCACTAAAATCATTACAACTCTACTCTCTTACCACCACTAAGAAAAGAATTCCCTCTTCACGGGCACACAGCCTCTATTTATACTCCTACTTATTATTACGTAACTTTACGAAAATACCTATCGTGATTACATCATACTTGCGAGATTACCATCGAACGTTCCAGAAATTTCTACGCATACTAATCATACCATGAATTATAATTACAAAGCAATGTCAGCAAGGAATAAACAAAGGAAGTCTTAAACAAAACAACCGCATACGTAATGTTTCTAAAAATTAAGTTAGTTTTCATCACGTGTCTTCGTGGCACTCAGTGACTCCGTCACAAACCTATTGAGACTTTTCATAATAAGTTTGATGGGTGTGCTCATGAAAATGTTCAAAAGGTGACACCCAAAGTTTCAAAAATTTGAAATATGTGCAGTGATAAAAATTCTTTAAAATAAACTCTGCTCTCAAGAGCATTTTGATTGGTGCACAGATGCAAAATGCAGTCTTGCCACACCCACAAAAGTATTTTAGTGTGAGAGCATTACCTATTCTTATAGGGAACAAAAGTCAGGTATGAAGGACAGGCATTTCCAAATCTATTATCTTCACTTAATACTAAGAAAAATTCAGTAATCGCCACTACTCAGATGATATCATGGAAAGAGTTCAAAAAGTGTTGACTAAGGGTATTCGGGTGTGTGGTGGACCATGAGGAGAACGTGAACAAAAAATAACCGAAGAACAGTGGCGTACCCAGGGCTGTAGCAGTGGGGGTCTGGGGCTCAGCACCCAGAAACTTTTTTGGACCACGCCCTTCAAACACTCGCAAATGCGGGGAAACGCCCTCTTTGAAAAATTTCTCCCCATTATTTGATTCATTTTAGCTACGGTAAATAGCAAAGTATTTTACAATTGTTATTGACACAAGCATACAGTATACTACCCCCTCTCCCCACTGAGTTTCACATCGTTTTTGGAAAAATCTCGAGGACCATATTTTAGAAAAGTGGGGGGGGGGGGTCCGGACCCCCCTATTCCCCTCCTCGGGTACGCCACTGCCGAAGAAGAATTTCATAGACACGAGGAAAAAAGTTATAAGGATTTATCAGGTAATAGAAGAATTTTAGTAGCACGTTGCAGCAAATTCGACAGAAAAACAGTGAAACCAGGCATATGGCCAGAAATTGATGGAAACATGATGAAAAATTTAGAAAACGGTGGTTAGGCAATAGGATAAAGTTTGCTTTGTTGAACAGTTACAAGCCATTCACATCGCTAATAAATTGTCTGGTTTGGGTTGCATAGTGAACGAATGAAGGCTTTGAAAAACGATAGGTGGTCTTGACTACCGTGGATTGAATGATTACATGACGTCGAAGTTTCACCGCATTGTTTAGTTAAGTTCCTTCGTGCATAAACACGGCGTTTTAAAAGCACCTATTGCTTCTTTGTGGTCACTGTTCAGACTAGATACACTTCTAGTTCTAGTCCCTAGCGTCTAGTTCTTAAAACCGTATATATCAATTGAATGTGGTATTAGATGACGAGAGCTGCAGATGAGAGCATGACTTTTATTGTTGGTCCAAGAACAGTAAAGCTAGAAAGCTGCTTGTATTCGGTGGCATTTAAAGGTATTTCAAAGAAATATTCATGCTAAAAATGTGATTGGTGGTGCTAACAGACAAAAGCAAAGGTTAGTCTGTATCTCTTAAAGCCTTCTCTGCATGGATGAATGTGTATACACGCACGCATACCTTTTTATGAGTAACTAGCCTCAGAATAAGAAAGATTGCTTAATTTCTCTGAAGATCTTGGTAAGTTAATTTTAAAATGACAAGTTCGCAACACAAGACATAATGAAACAGATCGCCTACTAATTAGCAAGGAGTCTTTCTTTACATCATCCTTATGTCAATTGAACTATAAGTTGTTACTTGATCGCTCAAAAGGATAATTTGCATCCTATCGTTTCTCTAGATTAAGGGTAATCAGTACTATAGTATTGAATTTTCCATGGCAATTTAGAGGTCCGTTTTATTACAGAAAGTTTTCTATATGAATGCAGATACGGTCATTTTAATCAATTCATTTTCTCTGATGTTTAAAATTATGTGCAAGTAAAAAGAAATAGCTGCTTGGTTTGCAAAATGCAGATATTGTTTTGAAACTTGAAATGTGACGATGACTGAAAGATAGTTTTCCATTAAACAAAAAAGTTTTTCTGTAGATATGTTTTTTTTCTGTCGATAGGCGACAACGTATTTCAGATGCGCATTCGAATCTCTTCAAACCGAAAAACTTTAGAGATAAACCCATTACGTCTTTCAATTTTGCTGCCACTGTTTCGTTTATTAGATATCAATTAAATCAAAGAAAAATTGTTGTAAACTTTAAAGTAAAATTGAATCAATTAAATCAAAGTAAAGTTGTAGTAAAGCTTTAGTTTTCTCAAATGTTTGCTTCTTTCAAAGCCATTTTCAAATTTTGTACCACCAAAAGATTGTTTTTGTACAATTTTTGTTTTGCATAATTAGTGTCATGGGGTAGGCAATGAAGCAAAATTTTCACAGTTAAATGAATAATTATTTGCTAAAGTTGACCAAATTTGTGATTATAGAAAGATCTCAGAAGGTTTTCTGTTGTTCAAAAAGCTTTCTGCTAAATTTTATGAAGATTCTTCAAAGGATGACAATAAACATCAAAGCAAATTTGGGCTGAACAATACACTAGTTTGAGCTAAACCCTGTTTGAAAATCGTTTCTTGCGAGGGAAATTCTTGCTGTATGATGTTAGTTGATAACAAATGCGATAATATAAATCATATTTATAGCGTTAGTGTAGTAGAAGGGTGACGCAGCATAATGCTGTTAAAGTTGTGAAAGTCACAAGAAGGTATCGTTGCTTTAGTTTAGATAAACATTTTTGTAAGTTAAGCATTCGTAATTCGGAGGTCCATCGTAGACGATTGGACATGACCAAGATTAGAAACTATATTTGTATTTCTTTATATTTCCATGGTACAATTATTACATTTCTGAAGAAAAAAACTTTCTTAAATTTTACGACTGTACCTAAAACCTTGGTATAAAACCTTGTAATCTTGTAGCCTTGGTCTAAACCATTGTCTAAAACCATTGTCTAAAACCTTGCAATCTGAGCTTAGAAATTAGTTATGTAAATATATATTGTTTGTCCCCCTTTTATCTTCAACGAAGGTTAATGTGAAAGGATTTCAGAAAATTCTCAAATACACTCTTTTTTATACGAAGCAGTAAGTCGTAAATTTTTATAAGTTTCGAAAATCTGAGGCTGGATTGTTTTTAATTTGTTCTTAAATTAATAGGGTGTAAGCTGCACGATTGCTAGCTTTTTCGCTCTGGGAAGTGTTAAGGCCTCATTGGCCAAAAAAGTGAGCGAGACAACCTTCATTTGCCGACAAGCTTGAATATTCATCGAAAAAGCAGCCACACATGGCTAAAAATCCTCGTTTTTGAGACAAAATTTTGTTTAAATTTGCATTTTACAGTATAGACAGGGAATTTCCCACAACAATCGAGCAAAGTGCCTAACGTTAGTTTTCGTTCTTGATTTGGGTATTTTTGAGTCTTGCTGAATATTTTAAGCCATGGATACATTTTTGTAACACAATACAATAGAAAATGTACAATTTCGATTGTAACACATTAGAAATTACGTGATCGTGACATGATTTCCGCCGGTCATCAAAATTTTTACTTCTCTTTCTGAAAAATCGCTCAAACCAGCTTGTTTGGAATTGTGAAAGGAACGAAAACTTCGATAGAACGAACTCTATCAGACTTGCAGATAATGAGTTATTGCTATTTAAAGTCGGCATGACGTCATCAAAATGACAGTTCTGCAGTTTTCAATTACTTGGAATTCCAAGGCTGATGGTCGTAATTTAAGTTGCTTTACCGCGACTTTGAAGTTTTTTACCTTCGCGTTATTCAGCAACTCAAGAATGTCTTTTGAGCTGATATATTTGCACGCCTGGGAAACTAAGTAGTGAACAAAAATGCTTAAAAGAACAAGTACATACTTGAAATATGTTACTATTTCTTGTATCTTGTGACAGCAGCTTGAGAGTGCAATATTAAAGTGAACTGCACTTATCATCTGCACTACAATTCTTTTGCTTTTGAAAAAATTGTAGAAATCTTTTTTCTAAACATTTTAAAAGCTGGGGATGGATGATGCAACTCTTTATTATGGTATTTTACTACAAATACACAATTTTCTATATGCACCAGTATTATAACCGGAGTTTATTGAAGTCAAAATTTGAAATTTTGAAGATAATTGATTTTAGCAATTTAACAATGTTAGATGAGCCTGTTAACAAAAAGTTTCTCTATGGAACTTTGTTGAATAAATAAATGTCAACTTGAACCGCTATACCTAATGGTCTTTGTCAAAAATGTTAGAGGCAGCCTAAACTACTTCAACTAAGATCTGGATAAAACAGACGGAAAAGACTCATGAGAATAAACTTTATAGATAATGGTAGTGGCAGTAGAAAAGGTTGTGTTCATCATTTATCAAGTGTGGAGAACTTAGAAAGACTATCAAATAGCCAAAACAAGAAAGAATGGCAACCCTTGATTAGGCGCGCAATGTCGCGAATGTCGCCTCCAAATGGCATAAGTGACGAATGGAGTGACTGATGATGTTAAAATTATTATTACTAAGATCAAACTTACGAAGAAACCAATCAATACTTTTTAATAGAAACATTTTATCCATTTTCATTGAAACCGAGTCAATTTTTGCACTTTTAATCATTTTAGCTACCGAAATCCTAAAATTTGCCTGCACCTGCAGCTTTTTAAATGGCTTTTAAATATAACGTGGCTTAAAATCTGGATTGAAAAGCCCAACAAAAATAGGCAACGAGCACGCCTTCAGGCCTCACCTTGTTGAAATCTATAAAAAGTCATATCGTCACAATTTTGAACGTCAAACTCTCGAGATGTCTATCCTTGCATAAAATTTTTTGAGGATTGTCAAAAGTAGTGCAACTTTGATCCTCAACATTTTTCATCCTTATTACTTTTTAGGATGACACCATGGCACCTATAGTGTGTCCAAAGATAAATTTCTGCCCATAAAACGATGACCTGACAAATCTTTGTCCTTGCACAATAGAAACAATAAAATAATAAGGAAAAAAACAGATGCTAAATTCTAGAATGTATCACATGCTCAATTTAAAAAGTGAAGAGTTTAGCTTGCCTCTAAGGTTGAATATGCAGATGTTCCAAAATGTACCTTGCACGTATCGCAATACTGGTCGTCCGCTAGCTGTGGCAGGGGTTTCTCATTGGTTAAAGAAGAATAACAGGGAGAATAAGAGTGATTCGTTTGCATTGAAACAATAAACTGGCTAACAAAACTGAAGCAACAATTGGAAAATGAGAGGGAGAAGATCATAGCAATAATCAGCACAAATAAGCAATACATACTTCCAGATACATTTCACCTCAAAAACTCCTTAACTTAAAATGTAGCGAATTCTAATTGAGTAGGTAAAGAGGGCAAACATATGAAAATGAAAATGGGTTATAGAGTACCGAATTGTGACGTCATCAAAAATCTATTTTTAGATTTTAATAATTTTGACCACATAATCTGAAAGAATGGCATAAAAACTCTCAAATTGCAAAGTCAGTAAAAAATATGCCCAAAAAATATGTTCAATGAAATAGTTCAGGTTTGCTAGCAGATACTGTTATTCTGTTTGATGGAGAAGGGACCTATTTGTATGATCATGAGGCAATATCTCAGCCAGTTTGTCACACATTCAATCGACTTTTTTCACACAGTTACAGGTACATTTAGAGGTACTTCATTTTGCTATTCTAAAAATATCATTTTTCTAAAAATAGATTTGCTTGAAGCCATCACTTCGGAACTCTTGCAATTTTGGAGGTTTGGGTCTTGTTTGTTATTCTAATTATCAGGGGAATTTAACCGTTTATATCAAAGTTTATTTATTGATAATAATGACAATATTTATACAATGTAAAAGCTTTCTTATACCAAAGAAAACGTTAACAAAAACATCCTGCTAATATAGAATACTTAGTTTGATAGGCAGTGTAAAACTGAAAACAAAAACAATTTGTCCCCATATGGCCCAAAGGTGTATGAACAAAACTACATGGTTAAGGCTTGGGATGTCAATCAAAAATCCATTGTAAAGAGAAGAACATTGAGCAAAACTAATTTCTCTGCAGCCTCACTTTCCTTTTTTGGAAAGGGCAGTTTCCATGAATCTTCCCCTGTGCTATATTTATGATTAACCTTCATATATGATATAAAAAATTAGGAAAGCTGTTTCTTACAGGCACTTAAAAACTAGTTATAGTGCCTGAAACCTAATTCGAATTAGTACTGTCATGTGCCTATTATATTTTAATGAACTGATTTATAATAACCAGGTAATTACTCAAGTAATCACAAGAAGTCACAAGATTTAAAGTAATTCTAGTAAAAATTGAGTTAACCTCAAAAAATTATGAAGCAGTCAAACAAACAATTCAACCATAAATACACTAAAATATCAACAAAACCCAAATATTTTTTCCTAATTTATACGAACCAAAAGACTTGCTTTGCTTCATCAGCTTTACAATAAAACACTAGAAAATGCCCCATCTATTAGTGATGATATTTTTAAGGAGGATCACACAATAGTGTACCGAAGTGATGACGTCAAAAAATATATTTTTAGAATTTCTGAATTATGATTCCATAACCTGAAAGAACATCATAAAATACCTCGAAATGTGCAAAATCAATTGATTTTCTTACAAATTGGCTGAGATATGGCCACATGAGCACAGAGTCTTGCCTAATTAAACCTCTATAATTTGGTCTTGGTTCATAACTTTATAAACCAGGCCAGAGTAACGGTAATCCGTTAGCAAACTTGAAAACTTTCATTGGCCATATCTCGCCTAATTTTAACAAATATCTAAATGCCGTTCTTTCAGGATATGTGGTGAAGTTTAAGAAACTTTGAAAAAATATTTTTGATGACCGTCATACTTCGGTACTCTATTGGTTAAATTTTTGTCAAATGCACGAGTGAATCACACATGTAGTCAAGCAAATTTGTGTGAACATGATAACCAAAAGCTGGTCACCGCAGCAATTCTTGTACCGAACCTTTTCCTCTGCTGGTTAATAAAATCCGAACAGTTCAATTCATATTGTTTAAATAGAAAATTTGAGAGAGACAAATGAATGAAATAGGTCTATTCAAAGATAGAGCTGACGCAAGGCCTGGAGTAAAAACTAACACAACTCTTAGACAAAACCATTAATAAATTGTAAAAGCTTCGCAAAATGTTTTCTTTTCTTGATGCCATTTCTGGGCAATATTAGCTACGGGGTGGGGGTAAGAAGCAATCTTTTTGAAAGCTTATACTGAGCAGCATATCTCTGCTTAATAAAATAATTTTCATAAACACATTTTTTTAAACCCTGGTAACTTAAATGTGAAGTAAAACAACGTTTCATTAAGAAATAAACTATAATTGAAGAAACCCTTCCACTTTTCCACTCGCTTTAGTCAAATTAGTATAAGAAATTAGCTCCCAAAACTTTCACTAGATGATTTTAGAAGGTTTTCACGACTTTCATGATCACTGTACTTGTATATGAAGTATCACATAGGTTGTTTTGCTTTGAGGAGTCAGTGGGGAGTCTGGTAAGCAATGTTAAGCTGCAATCACCTACGAGCAAGGACCGAGATACCGGGCATAGCCCCCCCCCCCCTGCCAAAAATCTTAAGTAGCATATCATATACCCTATCTTAAGTAGCATATGTAAAATACTTTTATATTGTAAAACATGGCTGTTGTTACACTTATTTATCAAGGCTGGCACTCCCCGAGCAAAATGTTGTATCTCGGTCTTTGCCTACAGGTCCAGGTTTCCACTTGCAATCAAAACTCAGAGATCTAATAGTTTATAAATCAATCTTAATATCAGTAATAGCTGGGCAATAGATGACTGTCCGCGTACTACAAAAGGAGAACTAAGATCCCCATGATGTCGGTTAGCTCCGTGTGCGCAACCAATATTTTCCAGCTTACCAATAACATTGGCACTTAATGGACTTTAGTTTGCTTTTTGCTTTCTAACTTTTGAGTAGAGAAGTATAGGCATTTAATGACTAGCAATCTAATTTCAGTTGTGTTAAACATAGTAATATAGCATTAGCGCGGCCTCTGCCTACACCCCCAGGAACTTTAAGATTGCATTCACTTTTGCGGATTATAAATATTCTTAACAACTTTAATACATGTAATACATAAATATAATAGATATTCAATAATAGATATGAATTAATGTAGATTATAAATATTCGTAGAAATTTGTGATCGTGTGCCTAAAATAATTTTTAAATCACTTTATCATAATTGTAAGAGTTTTGCTACATATTTTTTCTACAAGAGCAGTTTTATTAGAAGACGAGCCTCAAAATCAGTAAAAATCAATTGAGAAAAAGCTAAGGCCGAGATATTGTATTGTAAAGTGTTCAAATATCTTTATATTAAAGAAAAACTTGTATTATATACACCCAATTTTTTCTCCAGAAAAAAATTATTTCATATCTAAACTGTTTCATTTTTCGCACTTAAAATTAAGAGTAAATTAAGAAAAGTCCAGCTTTAAAGTTTTAAGAAATAAAGACTATTTACCTGAAAATAAATTTACTGGTCTTATGAACAATAGTGTAGTGTTTTTTAAAACCACAGAAACATTTTAGGGTCTGAGGCATACTAGTACAAGGCAAGCTTGATGAGTGCACTTCAAAATTTTTGCTTAGAACATTCTCTCATTTTATTTGCTGAGAAATCTAAATTAGCAAAAACTTGACTTTTAGAGCATAAACTGAAAAGGCACCTTCATTCGGTAAAAAAGGAAATAATTATGCTCTACTCTACGTAAATAATTTTCAAAAACATCGGGAAACAATACGTCTATGGCTTGCTTATTCTGGCACATTTGTTTAAAAATTAATTTCATCCGTTCTGAAGAGTCAATAAGCTTATTGATAACACTATTAAGATCGATTGTGCCAAATCTTTGCGAATAAAATGGTTGATTCTGATATGAATCATAGCATTTTTAACAGTATAGTTTTTTAGGTTCAACTGTAGCACTTCGGTTCAACTGTAGCACAAATCCGGTCACTGTTGCACTTCGAACACTGAAACACTCACATTGACTCGTACTCGTTAACTACTGTTTAAGGCCCCCAAAAATTTTCAAAAATGTAGTTTAAAAAGGGCACCTATTATAGGGAGTCCAAAGGTTGGATAACGTGCAAGGATCAACCAAAAGCCGTAATCAACAACGAAATAAAACGCAACTACGCGACTGCGATGGCAAAACTTGCGTTGATAAAACATTGCTAGAAGTAACTATTTGGCACGTCCGGTTCTCACGTTTTCACAGAAAAAGCTGCTGACTTGGTCCAAACCTTTTCAGCATCTACTGACTGCATGTTTTCGTTGAAACGCACCCACATCCTAAAAGCCGTAAACCGTTTCCAATTTACACCGTAAGACGTAAGTAAGACGCATCTTATGCTGAAGCCGCAATTCCGCGGAAAATCCATTCTTAAATCCGTAGCACACACGTAGAAATATGGTCGATGCGGTAAAGCCACAAACCTATGATCGAGGGGCAATTCACTCTTGCAAATAGCGCACGAGATTTTTTCTAAAACAAAAGGATTTCTGGGGATTTTGAGATAAAACAATAGGATTTCCATCAATGACGTACGAGATTTTTTGGAGTGATTTGCCCCTCGCCCCTTTGATAGGCTCCCTAAAGAGATACCTTTTTCATTTCACCATGTTTGTATAGAACCAGGTAGCAAAGCGTACGAGATGTCCCAGAAACAAAAGAATATCCAGTGATTTTCAGATAAAACAATGGAATCTCGACCAAATTTTTAAGAGATTTTCTTGGCGTGATTTGCCCCTCATATAGAGCCACCACAGCACAGAAACTACAGGAGCTTTAGACATTCCCAAAGTCTATTTTTGTTAAATCCTCAAGCATTCGTCCTACTGCGAGGGCAAATTTAAACTGCGAAGGAGATAATAGAGGGCGAAGGAAAATCTTTCGCTCAACAATATCTCTTTCGCAGTTAAGATTTTCCCTCGAAGTAGTACGAATGGCTAGAGGGTTTCAGAAATAGACTTTGGGAATGTCCAAAGGAGTTAACAGTAGCCCCATGAAACTTTTTTGAAAGCATAACGTTAAAGTGGAAATTGCGGCCTTTGGTGCAAGCCGATTAACAGAAAAGTGAAAAAGATAGCGACCTTTTTCTTGCCTATGCACAAATACTAAACTCATCATTTCTTTTTCTAAGAAGCATTAACAAGTGTTAACCTCTAACTTAGGATGGATTGAGTTTCAAATGTTTGAACAAAGCCGCAATTCATTTATAACGGCAACAGGAAGAATCTGATTTGGGACGATAAGCTTCGCGATGACGGCGACTTTAGCCTTATGGCACTGCAAAGGAAGCGTAGACGAATGACGTTGATTGGCCGTAGTGACACTGTCAGTGGTCATTTAAATCGATCATCACATCACTATACGCTAGTAGCAAGGTAGTTCACAAGCCGATTGTATGACAACAAAACATCTACAGATACGCAACAAAGACGCTCGTTTAGATTATTGCAAAGCTTCAAAGGAGCAGCCACAGCTTATTTTCAAGCAGAAGCTAGGAACACGGTAATCAATTATTTTTTCAGCCCTTTGCGGGTCTGTTGATTAAAATTTCAAGCGATTAATGCTAGCCGTCCCAGAAGTAAGGTTACACATTCAACTAGGCCAAAATACATAGATGATAAAGCGACCTACAGTCATTCTGTTGGGGGCTTGATTAGGGGTTTCGAAATCATTTCATTGCATCGTGTTCAACATTGTGCTTTTCTAATTAGCCTATTTTTTAAAAGTGTACAGTGTACATTCATTTTTTAAGAAACAAGGACCAACATTGAATTGAGTACCCCAGTTTCTTGACACTGAAATTTGTTCCAAAAGCCGTATAATGTTGTGATTGATTTTGCCATTTGGGGCCCGTTATATCTAATCTAATCTAAATCTAAATGTTACAGTGCAGCCCCCATAATGGGTATTTCGTACTAGCGGTTAGTAGGTTAGTCTTAATAAAAGAAAAGCGATAATATTAGAAAATAAACTGGTCAGCACTGCCGGATTGGTAAGCGGTAAGTGGTTTTATCGAGATAAAAATTTTATGCCATCGATGAAACACAAAGCATAAAATCTTGAAGTGATGCTTTCTTTCAAAAATCAAGTATTTCCTTATTGGTTTGCTTCGAGAACTTATTTTTTTAATTTTATCGGAATACAGGCTCGATTTCACCAGCGTGCAGACTTACTAAATAGAAGAAATTCTTAATTCTGAATTTCTCTTAAGTCTGCACGCAGACAAGGTTTGTTCCAAATCGTGATTGTGACATATTAAGTGACAAATCCAAAAAGTGACATATTAAGTCAAGGTAGCTTATAACGGTGCTATAGCCCATAGCCGCAGAGAGTACAAAAGAGTCACGAGGAGCAACAGGTGTTACAGCTCCCCCTCCCATTTTCCAGCCCTGGCAGCAATTGAACAACTTTAAATCGTTTCTATTTTGATAAGATAAATCAACTCCCAATTCTTTTACCTCGCATATTTTTCAATTTCATACTACTGCCAAATTTCGTAAAGATCTCAATCTTTGAACAGTAATAGCAGTCAGGCCATCCTTATGATTATATTCTTCAGGAACGACCGTAATTTTTTATCCAAATTTCAGCAACACTAATATTTATGAGTGATACCGATCATTACCACCACCCGTATCCATGATGTTAAAAATAACCCCCTTTTCGCTGATTTACCTCGAAAGTAGACTCGATTTGCCTCACAACTGAATACATGTTGACCCATAATTCTTGAAAACCATCCTAGTAAAGAAAAAAGATTAATGTAATAATTCGCAAATTGCTTTGATAATGCTTAGAAACATATCTGGTTTGTTGTAGGTGCCCTTTTTGTTCTCTCTGATTACCCTTTGTCAGAAAAATGCGCACCTATCAGGTATAGCATTAGATATTTTGCACCAAACCAGAAAATACACTTGTAAGAATCTGTGCAGTAAAGAAAATTCTCCTGAATGCTCTTTTATTTTTATATATTTAGAGAGCCAAATTGTTGCTTATATATTTCTTTTTCACGTTGTATTTTCGAGGGGTGTGCACCACATATCCCCAGCTTTAGCGGTCTCTAAGCATAGTTATTTGACTTCTCCTGTGCAATGTGTTTCTCGATGCATGTAATGAAATTCCTCTTTGTGACACTGTTACTTATTTCTCCCTATCGTAGCAAGAAAGCCTAGATTATAGGCCTGAAAATAATTATTGAATAATGGCACTTCTAAGATACCTTTTCTTTTTTCCTTAAAGATTTAATCAATTCTCGTAAATTTTGAAACATTAAAACTATCTACCAGCTGCAAAACAGCTGAAGACTGGCTGAGAGGGGCTGAGACAACCTTTGTTGCTTAACATGTCTGTTCTTGGACGTTTGTTGGTTCTGATTTAAAGGTTATCTGAAGACATTGCAGTTGCATCATAAGCAATGATCTGTGTAAGCTGAAGTGCCCTGTTCAAATTATGTTGATGTGCACCGCGAGCTCAGTTTCTAATCTTCACAATTACCGCCAGTTCAGTCGCAAAGATATTTCCTTTGTTGCTAAGACGCTCGTGCTTGGGAAAATTTCTTCAATGGATAATTTGAAATAAAAAGATTTTTTCAATCAACAACACAATGCTTTATATATTTGCCAAAAGTAACCATAGCAGCAACTTTAAGAAACAAATATTCAATATTAGAGAGACGACACAAATGGATTCAGGAGATCAGTTAGAGCTTTAAGTTTCTTATGCCATGGATGAGAAAATTAAAACTTAAATCAATGAAAAGAAAAGCAAGTTTTTGTTTGTCAGTTCATTGTGAATGAATCGATCCTATGATTTACTGGAAGTTGAAATGTACCCCTGTGACGTATGACTTGCTATTGAGATCATAGATGCATTAGTTGTGAGGCACAGCTCTTTTAGGGTATAATAACTAAAGTTGTGAACTTTTCTTTCATGTTCTGATATGATATACTGATATTTATGTAATGCCCATTTTACGTTGCAATTGACAACGTGATGTTACAGCGTGATGCCCCATGCTACATCACTGATGTAGTACAGTATGTCAGCTAATCGCATTTAAAAGGATTTTCCCACCCATTTAACGGCACTGTTCATTCATTCGCAGGATCATTCAAGTTGGCAACTTTTTCTAGCAGCAAGAGGCAGCCTGAACGGACTTTGGCTCAAAATCAGTTGAAGTAAAGCAAGGCAACATCCAGTTTGGAAACAACACTGGAAGATGTTTGCTTGACCTCGGTGCCACAACGCAATCTAGTGCCCAGTTTATTTGATTTAGAGCCAGAATGGAGTGAGACCCTATGTGTCATTTGAGAATCCACGTGCTGTGAAAAACACAAGAAAGTAAAATACCACATCGATTGAGTAGATTCTGTATGTGTAAAGAGGTCACATACTCCCATTAAGCCGGAGTTGTTAGTGGCTTGCAGGGCAACGAATCGAAATTGAGGTAGAAACTAGTGCTTGCCAATGAAGAGGGCTTTTTGATGTGCATCAGTACAGCGGAGGGAGACAAACTGTTTTCGTGATGCCCAAAGAAAGAGCATCTCTCTACGCAGGTCTCGTTTGAATTCTATTTTGATAAAGTCGTGGCTACTGCAGTATTTTGGATTGAAAAGTGTATTCGCAAAAACAGCTGTATCATAACTTGATGTATCCTCATCAAAGCTGCCTAACAAAAGTTAATTTAACTTCACATGGTTAACAACCATATTCTTAGTAAATCTCAGATCAGCTTTTCCACTGAAAATGGATCATCTGCAAGAGGGAAGCAGTAAACAAGATAGGACGTCATGTTTGAAAGACCAGGTTTCAAAAATTTACATGAACACGATAGCTGCAAATGAGCGAGAAGACAGGCTGCTTAGCAAAAGACTCGATGCAATAGATATGGAACACAGGGCACAATATTTGAGGATGAGGAAAATAATTAGGGATGCAAAGGCCTTCAGTAGAAGAAGGTTTCCCGCACTGCTGTCTGGGAGACCGACGCTGGAGAGCAAGACATTGGATACATCTAATCGCGGACACACTGCACCAGCAAAAGGTTTATCTTTGAGTGCCAATGGGCAACGCACGGGTTCAATTTCAGAAGATCAAATGGACAAAGAAACACATGTTTCGAAAATTGACAGTAAAACAGCAAGTTGCCAGTTGATTGACGCTAAGCCAGTAGGACAAGGTAATGAGCAAAGGCATGGAAAGGAGCTTGTAGATCGTCTGAAGTACACAGAGCAAGAAGTTCTTCGCATTCGTAAATCTTTCGCTGGCCAGAACACCCCACCCGTACGAAAAAGGACATTTTTACCTCACCTTGAGATGCGCCCTGAAATCCCAGTCTTATCAGTTGATATCAGGACCAATCCTATGACACAGACGGTTCCACATGGTGCAAATTCTAATTCACCTGCAAATATAAAAGAAAGAAAGGATGCAGCGTTACCTGAGATTTCGAAAAAGTCGACACCCACTAACATTCAACGCAGGAAAACACTAGCCGGAACGAATGCATCACTTTTACGATCAATGAAAAGGGAGTCAACGGCTTTAAGCAGGTCCCTTCCGTCGAGTTTTTGAAAACATTTAAGTCTCATAATGTTCATTTCACACATTTTGTGATAATGCTAAAAGTACGTTTAAGGTGATATGGAAGCAGTCTGCAATGACTAGTTCTCGATATCTTGGATTAAGCCCCAATCCTAACAGAAAAATAAATCCTAAAAGGTTAAGCCATTTTTTAAGATGGTCCTATTCATGAAATAGAACCCCTTGGTAATTTTTCTGTTGGTATAGTAACATAATATTGCGCACTGTACACTTCGTGTTTGCATATTTGGACAACTAAGACATATTCATAAGCGTACGAGGGTGGGGGAGGGGGAGATTGGCTGGTTGTATTCAGCTTCCTAGGGTATAAAAAGTCATCTAAAGATTCAGTCATCAGTTCGCTGATAGTCAGGCGTATGTTTTACAAGTGCTTTAAAGATCTTGAAAAAAGCTCTATTGTTTTGCAAAAAAGTGGCGCTGGTCCCTCGCCCCTCCCCCCTCGTCGGAGACCCAGCATAACTCTCCAACGCTTTAAGTATTTTGCAAGTCAAGCTGCTTAGTTTCTTAGGGAGCACTTTGAATAGAACTATTTTTGTCCCTAAGGGAACACTGAAAGTATCCGAAATGTTGCCTACAGATATGAACTTTATTAATTTATTAATTTATTAATACTTTAATAATCTGAGCAGTTATAGTGAGGAAAGGATACAATGGATTCTGAGAGAAAATTAAAATGCGTCAATAGCCCAATTCGTTTTTTCTAATTCAGGATAATGGTATCTGTGGCTTATTCACAGTACTCAAGCAATCTGTTGTCCACATTTGCCCTAATTTTATCGTTTTGACAGTACAGTACCTACTGACTCCCTCTTTTAAAATCAGGGTAGGGTACTTTTGATCCAATAGAACAGAACAAATTTTTTTCAAGGTTCAAGGCTTACTACTGATCCAATAAGCATGCATTAATACACCCTGCATTGAATACGATTCAAGGATCAATTCCTTTAACGATTTCACGGGGGCAGCGCCTTTTTTTATAGATCAAAGTCCACTGAGTAGAAAGGATTTGGTTAACACTGAATATTGATATATCCTACTGCATGGTGAAGAACATGGCTCCCTAAGATATATTAGCACAGCTCCTGCTCTAATTTTTTAAATCATTTGGTGTATGTTTTGCCAGCAGTTCTTCAAGGATTCATTTTTTATAATTAGGTCCAAAAATCCATTTCTGTGATTTTGCTATTGAATAGAAAATGATATAGATAAGTATAGGAAATAATTTTGCAATCCTGTCATTATTTATTTTAAAGCAATAATATATATTTGTTTATAGATAATTCTGGCATTTAAGTTGCCTCAATCTGGATTGTAAATATATCGCGTGAATGATAATTGTCTTTATACCAGGTACTTGTTTAATGTTGTTTAATATGTCACCATTGAATTCATACATAAATTCTTTGGCGAAGCTTAAAAATCCGGTGAGGACAATCCGATTACCCTCGTGTCATACACGTCGAAGAGTTTTATGACTGCACCATTGAATTACAGGTCATACTTAGGTAACTCGGTACCTTTTCCTGAGCTCTGAGAAATAATTACAATTGAATGATGTCTTTATTAAAAATTCTCTCCAAGAAAATTTTCGTTTCATTCAAAATTAGGTTATAATCAGAAGGATCACTTCAGAACATAAAACCAGTCTTTCTCGTCAAGAAACTTAATCACAAACACCAAATAATGCCATTAGACATTAGACTCAGTTTATGTTTTGTTACACTATCAATATATTTCATGTATCTATTTTTATCTGGATCAAAGCCGTCACTACGGGGGGTGTGGAGGGTGTGACACCCCCTTAGGATGCTTCATTGCCAAATTTTCAAACTTCTGGGAAAATAAAGGATGGCTCACCCACTTTGTCAGCAAAGAGACTTGACTGAGCACTCCCCTCGAGCACGATAGATAGTGACGTTTCTTATTTTGATGAAACACTATGCCTAGGCACCAGAAACTTTGATGCAATAGGAGTCCTAGATCCAGCTACGTTAGGATGTGATTTTCACGCTTTCATTTATCGAAACTATTTTTCTGATATGCTACTCCACATGTCAGGCCAAATGCTGTCATTTTGTCACATGACATGACAAAATTTCGACCAATAGCGAGGTGGCTATGCTCCGACAAAAAGACTATGTGGCAAATGACCACCCCTTATTCCTGCCCTGACGCGACCACCTTCTGAAAGGGCAGAGCTTTTTATGCTGTATATAGCCAGAAGTTAACACCTTAATCATAGAGAGAAATGAATTAAGTAACAGAGGGAGAAAAACATAGATCGTTTTGTTGTTCTCGTTTGTACAAACGAGCGTTCAAAAATTCTAAAAATGGGCAGACAAAAAACTTGACGAGTACCCACCATTAACTAAGCTGTAGATACTTCAGCAGTGCCCACCATTAACTGCTCAAAAGGCACTGGGCAGCAAAAGTTGACGATTCTGGGTGATGCAGTCACCAATGTAACAAGAAGCATAAGATTTTTATTAAAACAGTACATTATCGATCGAATTCTCTGCAGAAGAAGCACCACTACACACAGGCATGAAAGCAATATATCAACTTTGGCTATGAAGAAAAAAAATGATTGTGTTTTGTCTACAAGCAAGGTTGTATGAAATGAAGATTCCTAATTGTGTAAGTATGTTTGCTGTATCCCACGTGACTGTGAAGTTGTGTGCTGTGTAATAAGTTTATCCAGGCGCAGTCTGGCCCGGCTGGCAAAGTGACTAACTCTGGGAACCAGAGTCTCAAAAAACCGGGGATAATGTTTTGTGGACCACTGGGGTGGCAAAGAATGAGAATATGCACTTCTGTGACTGGTTTCAAACTTCATTTCTGAGACTAAATATTGGAGAATCTGGCACCCAGGGTACAAAGTGACGATCGCAATCCGTTACTTAAATACAAAAGGAATGCCAAGTGACGTAAACGAGCACGGTGCGCAAGGGAATTTTTTTGCTGTTTGTGCGAGTGAGGTTCAGTTTGGTTGTGAGTTTGAAAGCCTTCAGCGTAGCTGCAAGCGAGTGCAAGTTTCCAACCTGGCATCCGGGCCTTTTTCTCTAAAGAGCAAAAAAAATGACGGGATGAATGTTGGTACTAGGATTTCTTATAGATTATATTCTCTCTCATTTGAAAGATCTACCAAAGTTCCAAAGCGAATCAAAACATCAACAAATATCAATGTTCGTGTTCATAGCTTCTTTAGTCAAATGAGGGTCAATGCAAATTGCACATCGAGTCATCAAACATTTATACATTATAAGAAAGCGACATGAATATCAGTACCGTATCCCGTTTGTCAGATTCAACAACCATGAGCCTAACATACATCCCTGTCTTACCCCTGTCTTGCATCTAATCGTCTAATTTACTCCCTGCACCATTGTTAGGTAGGACATATTAGATAGCAAACAAACATCTGGATTGGTCGCTCTTCATCATTTTGGGCATCTTCAAAATAACTATTTGAAATGCCCTCTGAAAATCCACTTATTTTCGACGCTTACACTACAACTTGAATACACACTCATAATTCAGGAAAATTGAGGGGGGGGGGTGGTAATTCAATGTTTTAAGATTGTAACAACACGCTTCTGTAAATATGTTGTATTACGTAATTATTATCTTAAAGTTGTTTGCTGCTATATGTCGAACTTCTTGTTCTAGTTGTTTGCTGCTATATACGACGAATAAATTAACTAACGACTAATAAAAGCAACGAGTGCGAAAAATTACAGTAAGACTCCAACGACCAAGTCCAAGCTAACGTAAAGGCTCCTAGTAGTACGGCAAAAGTTTCGACAAGGCTAAATTTAACTTATGAAACCACCCCTTATATACCCTTAGCAGAACCGTAAATTACATATACAACATATTTACAGACCCTGATGCAGTCACAGCGCAATGATGCAATTGTCAAGTGATATGTATGATCCGTAAGGAGACCCTGTGTTGTTACACATTATGATGATGAAGTTTATGATGATTATGATGATCTAAACACCCATACACTTGTGCTTTTGGATTTATGTTTTGTTTTCATCGGTAATTTCGAATATTGTTTCCACCACGTGTTAACATTATCATTGTTATGGTTGCAATGAATTACTTGCAAGACATGCTAGCTTTGATATTCTATTCAACTCTCGTGTACACAAAGTAATGGCATACTTGGTCCTTATAAATACTTGATAAAGACATAGTCAATGATAAAGACATAGGTGACCTGTGCACATGTGCTTGATTAAAAAGCTGCCCTGTGGATGCAGGTTTCAGCTGCCTGTAAGTACCTGGCGTGATGCCTCTTTGCAATTCTTCACAACATGTGCTTACCTGTAACTATCAATTTCCATGAAGCATCACTCCCTATCCATCAAAGTCTAAGCTTACTCAGCATTCAATCATCACAACGCGAAGAATTATTCTTCGAAATTCAAATCAAGATAAATTTGAGATGTAATATTTTCCCGAGGGGCGGGGCTGGGCGGCAAGGGGGGGGGAGTTACAACATATGTTCTGGGAGTCAAAAATTCTAGACACAAACCATTTTCTTCCTATGAAAAATTGAGCCGAAAGCTGTCATACCTATGAGGTATTAAAACCCACTTGAACAGTATCCTCTGCTATCAGAGATATTAAATCTTACTGCTTCTATTTTATATGAAGGTAAAGTTGACCAACACATTTGATGCATTTCAGAGCGTTGAATAATTGTAATGAAAAATTTTAACAATGCATTCATTAAATGTTTATACCCTGAAATATTATATTTAAGACCCAAAAAGGTTTGGCCCTAATACTAACGCATTGTATTACCTTTTCTGGGATAAATTATATGATATGATTGAGAGCTACCTAGAAAACAATACGTAGAGCTGAATGGGGTAAATCTGAGTTAAAACCTGTTGCTTATGGAGTGCCTCAAGGGTCACTGTTAGGACCAAGATTGTTCTCAATGTATATGAATTATTTGCCTTTAATTATTATTATTATTATTAAAAAATTATTTACAGTAGGCGAAGCAAAATTGTTTCAGCTAATATAACAGCTAATTAAAGCCTACTATTTAAACTACATTTAAAAATCTTAAATTAATTACAATGAATGGATAAAATGATATAGGAAATGTACAAAATTAAAATGATGACTCACTAGATAAAAATATACAATTATTCGATGACTATTTCAAGAATCCAATCAGCGCAACGTAAGGTTTGCATAGTCTGCAGTTGCATTTTGTTTCCTTCCAAGTTTTTATCTTTTTCTTAAATATTGCGAGGCTAGAAGATGTTTTAATGTCATTTGTAAGCTTTTGCCAGAGCTTGGATCCCATAAAGGTTGTACTTTCTATACCATAACAATTTGATTTTGGTTTTGATAGCGATATTCGGGATATGTTTCTAAGATTATAGCATGTATTTCTTTCAGTAAAGATTTCTTTCATGAAACTTAGGTTGAGATTATGTAAAGTTTTATATATTTCTGTATGAAGCAATTGCAGATTTTTATCATGGATAGATGTCGAGTTGTCTTTTTCAAGAAGAGTTTGAAAGCTTGATTCATAGTCATCATAGGCAAGACGCAAAGATTTTTCATGAATTCTGCCTGAGACTACATTGAGATACACTTATATGTAGATGATGTAACAGCTTATGCAGATGCTGGTAAGCTGAATGGTTTTGCAAAACAAATAAAAAATTTTTATGTTGCAAACAAGATGACAATAAAAGTAGACAAAATTGAAAATTTTGAAAAAATTGAGAAGCAGCTTGTAAGGGCGGCAAAGTTAATAAAAAACATCCCAGGAACAGTTGAGAGTAATAGAGGGCTGGAGAAAGTAAGCTGGGGTCCCATTATTCACATAAAAAATGGAAAAATAGCATTTGAAATGTGCAAAATAGTGGAAGAAACAAAATAAAAAACAGAATGATGTATAAATTTATTCTTTGTAGACAGTCTCAAATTACTCAATTAGATTTATGAAGGTCTAGGTCATTGATTACAATTTATTAGGAATTCAATATTACTCTATTCGGGAGAATAATTTCGTCCACGTCAATCAGAGGGCGGAAATAGAGAGAAGCAGAGAAGAGGAGAAGGGTAAGAACTACGGAGCATACGGATTGAGGGGGCTAACAGGTTTGGGGGGGGGGGGCTAAATATGCCTAAAATCAAGATCAAGGAGGGGCTTAGCCCTCTCAGTCCCCTTGCTTCCGAGGTCCCTTGAAGGAGGTTAGGCGGCTCAATGCTACCCTGGAGAGGGGGGTTGAATTCAACAAAGTCGATAAAAAATCGTTAGCTTAATCATTAGCTTGTCTCTTGTCGTTGTGTTGTGTTTGTGTTGTGTTTGTGTTGTATTAGACCAGGGTCCGTTTCGGCCTTAAAATTTATTGTTAAAAATATTTAGAAAATGTTTTTCATGTTCCCGTCGGAAATATTGCGGTTAACTTCCTCATCGGAATTCCAGAAGGAAAGACAAATAAAGACGAAGAGTAAACGTTCCTTTGCTCCTTCGACAATTTTCAATCAGTTGACTTGTTTTTGAGCTTTTTTATCACTTAGATTGTGTAAAATGCCTCTTAGAATCATAAGTGAATGTTTTTATAATTCGTGATGAATAAGGTGTAAAAAATTTAGCTTTGTGAAAAATCAATACTTTGTTGATTCATGAAATCACGTGCAATTTTGTAAAGAAATCTCGAGCATCGCATGTTCTCCTCCATTGTTTCGAGATTTCTCTGAAACAAGGAAGTCATTGGGATGAGAAACCAGAGATCTCGTCAAGTTTGTTATCAGATTTACATTTCGGATTTATGAGCGAGCAAGAAGATTTTTTTTAACAAGATGGGCAAGCAGAAAAAATCCTTTATCGATACTGAAAATGAAGTGGCAGTTCAGCGTGCATGTAAGGTATGCAACAGCAATTTTTCGTGCTTGTTGTGTGATGTGCTTGCGTTTAGCAAGCACCTTTGATGCCTAGGCCAAATTTTTTAAATGTTACCTGACTTGCCGGCCTTTTGAAATTACGACATTCCGTCACTCGACATCATGGTTTTTGGCAGTGCAAGAGTGTAGGCAGGAATAACTCTTTTATATCTGAATGATTAATGAATAGCAATTTGTGAATATAGAGTAAATTGCTACCATCTTTGAGAAATTTCATCGGCGTTTCAGATTACACATTTTCTGATGCTTCATTTCAAAGTTTCAAAGTTTTGTTAATAATGAAGTTTTAACGCAACAATAGGGTGGTTCAGATAAATAGGACTTATTTTATCGTCTTCAAATTAAGAAATTCCCCTTAACCTGCATGTTATGTTGTTTTTAGAAATGTTATCAAGCCCTAATATTGAAAGCGATAGAAACCCTGACCTTTGTCCCAGTTGTTACACAGTGCCTCAGCTCCTGTAAAATAAAATAAAAGCTAAAGAGAAGCATCATCACTGAAGTTTGCAGTGTTTTGTGTTTTCACGATTCTTTTCATAAACGAACTTCCCACCTCTGTTTGTATTCATGATCTTGCACAGCCAAGCTACATTTGGCATGGAGGTACGACTGACGTAAAAAGGATTTTAAATAAATTAATTAAATAAACCTAATGTTTCCTGCACTCAATAATATTTCACTTGATCTTGTCTGTGGGGAAGGGGGGGGGGGGATGGGTTACTAGGCAGTTGTGTTGGTGGCAAATTTTTTGTTGTTGTTGCAATTTAGCAGTCTTTTAATTAAACAGTATTATCCATTTATTGGTAGAAAAGAATCTTTGTTTTAAAATCCTGTCCTGGCTCTTAAAATTGAGGCTCCAGTGAGCTAGAAAATATTTTCCATCTTAGTGTCAGTTCAAATAGAGAAGAGCATAAATCAAATTCAAATTTGTACTCACTTAAACAGAAACATCTTTGAAGAAAATCTGAGAAAAGACTTTTCCCAAAGCCGCATTTTGGAGATTTTACATGCCAAAGTTTTGCTTGAAGTTTCAGTGCTATGCTGACTGAAAAACAAACAATTTTGATATGCCAAACATTTATCCAAATATTGTTTGCTGCATTGAATATACAAATTTGCACACCATTTGTGGGGAAGGGGTACCATGTTCTTATTAATTCTCTGTATTGATATTGACAAGTTTTAGTATTTTAGTAACGTTTTTGTGGTTTTTACATTTGTTACTACTTTATGTCACTATATATTGTAAGAATTCCTTTGTTTATAGTATATTGGCTCATTTGCTATAAACATGATGAAAGCCGAAGAAAGACAAATAATGATGAATGAAAGACTTGAAGAGTTAAAAGTTAGTATTTTATGGTTTCTCAGTTGGCAAGTACAATTAAAATTTCACATCTCTTTTTGTTTAAATTCTGTGAGGTTGTGAGACTTATTTTGTCATGTTAATGACTCCAACGACCATGTTCATCTGCATTTTCATTTGAATCAATATTTATATTCTTTTTGCTTAAGGTCAGCTCTTAATTTTTTCCATAAAAGAAATTAAATTTTGGCACCAATAGGAACCAATAGTTTTCTAAATATTTTTAGAATCCCCAATTAATCATGTATCCCCAGAAGTCACTTTTCTTTAAATCCAAAGGAGATATATGATGGGCTAAAATGTAGAATAAAAGTTTAAGTTTAAAAAAATGATCATTGATGAGAACTTTTTATATTGTAGAATGTGAAAAAGGGTATTCGTGTTGTGTTACATGTTACAACATTTGGAATCAAAGTGTTTGATGAGAAGGAAACTGTAAGTATTGGCAGGAAACATTTTAAGAAATTTTCGGCACAAGATTTCCTTCCAACTTTTGTTTTCTATTAGATATTATGAAACATTCTAAAGCCTTTCTTAGTGTTTGGACATTGTGAAGGGCAGAAAGGACAGGGGTGTAGGGGAGAGTAGTCAGGCAAAATTTGACTTTTCAGTTTCAAAAGTGTTTAGCATCCCCTTTCGGCTCTTTTTTCAATATTTGCCCACTATCTGAAAAGTTATATGCAAGCCTTTCTGTGGTTTTGATTGAAATATTCATAAAATTCTCCAAACCCATCAATTCTTTTCCTTTTTTAGGAACCTTACCAATCGTTTAGTGTATAATAACTTTGAATTTGTTACTTTGATTTTTAGAATGTCAAAATGGCACATGCTATCATGAGGGTGGCCTTCTCTACGTGTTGTCCAGATACCAGAATGTTTTCTTATGTTGCTAAAAGCTTGAAATCCTCCAAGAATCCTTCTATTCTCCAGGCACACGTGTTTAAAACAAAAAAAGCTGCACATGTAAGCATGCACAATGATTTTCAATATTTTACTCTAATTGAAATTTTAAAGCTTTTTAATAGAAATTTAGCAGCTTCAAAAACAACAAATGGGTTTTAAAAATAAAATTGCTGTTCCATGGAAAGTGGGGGGGGGGGGGGACAAGGGAAAATCTAGCACCCATAACAAAAGATTTTGAAAAAAGCTCTGTTGTTTTGCTAGAAAGTGGGGGACAGGCCCCTTGGCCCCAAGAGACACTATGTTCGCTTTCCAGCAGCTGCTAATTTCGAAATCATGTTTTGAACGGAAAGAACTGTCTTACAGCGATTGATATGCGCCAATCTACTGTATCACGGCGAATATGCGTTGGATTCGATCATCATATAATGATGTGTGTATATTCGTTTTGGCACACAAGTGTATCGTAGGGACGAGAGGGCAGGTGAGACATGTATCTCCCTGGATGCGAGCGTAAGGGACGAGAGTGAGACATGTATCCCCCTGGAGCTAAATAAAACGTCGAAATTGACAGAAAATCGGGTAATAAAGCAATAATGGAGAAAATATTTTGGAAAAATAATTGACTAGTACCCCCATTTCGTTGTTGGCACGCTTATGCGATTGAAAGTTTAGAACAGGACGTCTCTAAGTTGCTGCTACGAGTTTAACGCTTAATGAAAGTACTCTCTGTAAATAAGCTGCATAAAATAGAAACTTTGTGTGAATTCACGTAAATGATTTACAGGTTTATAAAATTGGGATGTTGAAAATTTACAAAGAGTGAGCGATGTTGACAATAAAGCAGATTGTAGGGAGCAGGTCAGCTCCGTTAAAACGATTAGGGAGCTTTCTCCTAGATCACATAAAGAATCCGATAGTTCAATAATTATCATGACACTTTGAATAAGCATTGTTCTGCTTACTTTAGTAAATTGAATAAGCATGTTAATATTTGAGTAATTTAAAATATATCGCTTAGAACTCTAAAATTTTGATTGAGATATAATGCGAAAATAAGATGTTTTCTATGTTTGTTTTTTAGGCCCAGCAGTTATCTGCAGTCATGTCAAAAGCTTTTCGAATTGCCTTCTCCATGGCAACAGTAAAGAGAAAGAATAATCTGGAAGCGTTTGACGTTTCTGCCTCTGAGGCTCAACAAATGGTTTCGCCAATAGAAGTGAAGAGACGCTGGGTATGAAATAATACATCTTTTATATTGGCTTTAAGAATTTCTTGAATATTTTGTCACATTTTGATCATTAATCATAACTGATTGACTCAAAATAGCATTTGATTTCGTAAAAAATGCCTCTGAAATTGGTGTGTGACGCTTTGCAGTAATACTTCTTTTGATATTTTACTTTTTATAAGTAAAGCCTTACTGTACTTTCTTTATAACAATTAGCATATTCTTCACTATATTAGTAATGCGTAAAAAGCTATCAGTTTGGTTTATTGCTTGAAATACGTATAATATTCCACTATTATTTCAAAGTAATGATAATAATATGAGAAATATTCGTATAGGGTAAAACTTGTCAATACTGCAAGTACTGTTATCAGTAAGGTCCCTGTTTGCTGGGCCTAAAAATCCTGTAATAATCTACGCGGCTATAATCTTTGCAAATATTCTTTAAGTCGATGCTTGAAAAACCAATGGAAACTATCATTTTCTACATAAATATTAAGGCAAAAAAAGAAATGGCAAAAGGGCATGACTTGTCTGAACATGCTGAGCGAGCAAGAACGAAAAATCCTCTCGCACGGCTTCCTGGAAAGTCAGAGCCAATCGACCAAGAAATTTTTGCAAACCAGCCCGGACCACCTGTCCTGAGAGAACGCAATGTGTCAAATGCAGACTTTGATAATTCTCAAATGCTTCAGAGAGGTCAGTTAATGAGACCATCGAATGAAATAGTGAATGTGCAAGTCAATAATCAGGCCAATCCAAATTTGATTCACCAGACTCAGGGCATGCCTCCTACGCAGTTTTTGAGCCCTCATAGCAGTCATCATTACCCTGGTCATGCGCCAAATGCAGTTCCATCCGGGCAACAATTTGTAAGTTTCCTTAGTATTTTATCTGAGGCTTATGTAGATTATCAGTTTGCGAGTGCCAGGCATCTTTTATCATTATTAATTATTTGATTTAAAGTTGGCAGCTAAAATATATATCACAATTAAGGCCAAATATTTAAACAAAATAGATACAAATTGCTATAACATGAATACAATAAGAAAAATACAATTTATGATAAAAAGCCTAAGATATAAAATATCTTACATAATCTGCAGATGCAAGCTTGGTGTTTGATGAGCATTAATGAATTTTTGAGAATGAGTTTTTTTGGAATGAGTTTTTGAGACAGAAGTTCAATGCTTTCCGTTCATGTTGTGATTGAGTGATATTTAACCGTGCTCTAGAACCATTCATGGATTTACGGTATGGATATCTGTTGGAGCAGTGTAACTGTCCGTCAGTTGTGAGGATATGACCGGTTAAGGGAGATCTCAGAAATTGATACTTGGAAGAAGAAGGAACTGGGGGGGGGGGGAATATTTCAAACCAGAAATGTCTGCAAAGTCAATGTTTGAGAAGTTTTTATAAAACAAAAGATGAAATTATTTTTTATCACGAAGAGCTTTTTCGGGAATGCGAGCTATGACAATTGCTATTCAGAAAATAGAAGAAGAAAGCATGCATCATATAAGAAGATGACTGTCATTAAAAATAGTCCTCTTCCAGGAATTCAGTGCTTTATTTGTGTAACTTTCATTTAAAGAGCTCTATTGAGACCATAATTGATAGATTGGCGAGAGGGTGAGAGAGATTTGGTTCCGAGGGATGGCATTTCGGCGGACTACACCATTTGAAACGCAAGAAAAGCAAAGCTGCAAAGATTTGTCTTGGATCGCAAGCATTGTTTAAACAATTTAAAGTTTCTTTTACCGCTTTCACAATTACACTAATGGAAGGTGATTTTTATTGCAAAAAAATATGAGAGGCCAGCCCTTCCTTTCATTGTACACCACACAACAATAGAAGAATCGAAACAGTTAAATGGGACATGATTTTAAAGACAAAGAACTGCAATAAAAATAGAAATACTTTTCAGCTTGAGCATTAAAGTGAAACAAATTATCTGATATTTGTAACCCATGCAATTTTAAGCTGCGTAGTATATGAATATACATAAACACAAGTATTAATATTTTACAGCCTAATGTGATCTATTGGAAGGAAATTTCTTTCTTAAACCTTTGCATGAACCTTTAAAAACAATCGTTCATCCATCTCATGTTGGCAATTTTCCCTGAAGGACAACATCGCTGTACCTAGTATACAATAGTTACACAATATTTCACTTGTCTTACTATATTTAAATTATATTTCTTCTTATGCCACAATTCTAGTATTTAGCTTGTTTGCCGACGGTACAACCATTTCCTCTTTCCATGAAAATATATTGCTTTTGGTTAAGCACATGACAAATTCATCGCCTTGATACTGCACCATTTTTCTGCGCGGCAATACAAGTTGTCACTTATGTGTAACTTCCTTTAAATGCTGCAAAACATTCTGACAAATACTGTACCGAGTAATTTGAGGTTCGAGAGGAAAAATGTGGGCGCTATACAAAATACAAAGTGTGCAACAACTGCAACTCAAAATGTACAAGTATTTCAAAACACTGATAACTTGCTTCCAGGCACACTCTCAACCGCAGGGGCGGATTCAGGGTGTCACACAGGTCGCACGGAAGACCGTCAGATTTTCAGAATTTAGTTTTAGTCTTCAGTCATTTAAATAAGGCAATCATGTTTACCACAATCTTTTATTTCCCTCCTTCCAGATAATAATACATTTACCTCTCTTTACACAATAAACACAGACCGAACCTTGGTCGATCTCACTCACAATGCCACGATATTCAATAAAGAAGAAATCCAAAGACCATCCTAGACCGTAAACAGTATGATTTTTAGGCATGTCGCCCGTGCCGCACAAATATGCAGGGCTCTTTGTTATGCAAATATTTTACCAAATCTCACCAATCAAAATTCAAGTTTTCACATATTTGTGCGGCACGAAAAGTCTGTAAACACTATGTTAGATTACTGTGCCGCACAACTGCTGGTAAGGGAAGAAAGTGGACGAGGTTGAAAGTTGTGAAGGAGAAGAATCCCAATTTTTTATGCATACGGAAGAGGTGCACAAGAAGTGTACACTTCTAAATCTCAAGATATTTTGTCTCAACTGCGTGTTTGGATTTGCTGGGAAATTTGGAAAACCATTTAAAAGGGAAAAGTGTTTGACTGAACAATTTGAACGTTTCAGGGCCCCAGTCCTGTCGCCACCCTCAAAACTACTACAAGGCCTGCAAACCTCGTTCCCTATCATGACTCTACCGTTCGTTCGCTGGGTCCCTATCATGGCTCTACCCTTGACCACGAGGGACGCCCCCTAGACCGCCTGCTGGGTAGTGTTTATGTGCGACCGTCAACTTTTATTCTGTATCCGCCACTGCTCAACCGGGCTTTTACGGTCTGCCGGCACCCTGACATTAGGATACCCGCTTGTCCCTGGAGATGCCCATTGCCGGGAGACGCCCATTGCCGGGAGATGCCCATTGCCGGGAGACGCCCATTGCCGGGAGACGCCCATTGCCGGGAGACGCCCATTGCCGGGAGATGCCCATTGCAGAAAGATGTCCTTTGTAGGGAGGTGATCGTTGTCTAAAGATTTTCTGTTCAAGACTGACCCCAGAAAAGAACTTTTTGACAATATTTCGTTTAAAGCTTAATTATACTTTCTGACAATATCAGGTTTAAAGTTAAATTGCACTTTAAACCTGAATGCTTTTGGACTTTATGTCGTTTCCTTTTTATAAATAAATTCCTTTAACTGCATCTTTGGATTATAATGATCAGTGCTTGTGCTGCTAGGTTTCTGGGTATGGTCAAGGGATGCCTCCACCAAACCAACATCAGCAGCTTGCAATGCCTCCAAACGCAGCACCAGGACAGCAATGGGTAAGTGCCACTACCGGTGGGACTATTGAAGATTGTCATTTTTCTATATGCCAGACAGGTTTAAAAAATATCATAACTATCGCTTCCGTGCTATTGCATGGTTTAGGTCACGCAGTTTAGAAAAATAATCGTTTGAAGCCTACCATGTTTTGACTTTCTGAAGATTTTGGCAGTAGGCAAAGCTTTATGATCTTTAGGTTCTATTTTGTTTTGGGAAATCTCTGTAGTTAACATGCATTTCCAATTTGTAGTTGATTGTGTAAAAATCTAGAGAAAATATGAGATACTGGGATTTGCCCAATGTAAATCTTGTACAGCAAGCATCTTGGGATAAGATTTCCTGTTTACTTCACAACGGCCTGGACTTGAATATATTTTCTATCTGCTTATTAACAAATGGAAATGGTTGGCTGTGTTTTCCTAACTTTAAAACCTGTTGCTCATAGATCTCTGGCTATGGTCAAGGAATACCTGTAGCTGCACCAACTCAGCAACAGCAGCTTGCAATGCCTCCAAACGCAGCACCAGGACAACAATGGGTAAGTCTCACCACCATTGTTTCACGTAGGAGGCCAATGAAGATTGTCGTTTTGTGACAGGCAAGGCAGGTTTCAAAAGTGGTAATAAACATAGCATGCAACCTATTGGAAGGTTTCGCGGGAATTTTGGTATTTTCATTTAATGAGAGGACGAAATGTTGTTTTATGCAATTTTCAACATTATTTGTTTCCATTACAACATCGCAATCGGTTGGGAAAAAAAGGATTTTACGATTTGTAACACATTTTATTAATTGAATTCTGCTGCAACATATCACGAAGCGGCCGCTGCGATTAGGCCCATTGGGGCTCAAAAAATTTCCGAACAAAACATTTAGCATAATTTCCATCAAAAGTGAGAAAATGAGCAGTTCTAGACACCCAAACATAAGGTAGGTACCCCCGAGTTAATTGTAATAAGATAACGCAAATTGGTGCAAAGATTAACTTTTTTGTTGCAAATGTTTCAAAGGTACTCCAATCATCGTGGCTCAATTTTTGTGATTTTGTAAATGTTGATTTGGTTTAGAAATAGGCAAAAAACAAGAGTATTCTTGCATTTTCTATTATCAGCATCAAACCTTGATAAATGTTCCAAAACATTCAAACTAAAAAGACATATGAAACTTGCTATGGCCACTTGAATTTTGGTTCGGTAAAACTTTTGCTGCAGTGCCGCCATTTCCGTTTCAGCCTGTGCAATACTTACTTTGCTCACTAAGTGTGTATTCGAACTTTCTGATTGTTTAGGAAAATCTATAAAGTTACAACGAGATACAGGGATTTGCTTAAGATAAATATTGTACAGCAAGCAGCATCAAGGAATCAGATTTCCATCATAATTATTAGGCTCATTTGCTTCACTACTGTTTCCACCTGAGGGAAAGATATTCAAGTCAAATAGAAGAATTGGTTGATTGTGTTTTCCTTACTTTGAAATGTGTTGCTCATAGATCTCTAGCTATGGTCAAGGGATGCCTGTAGCTGCACCAAACCAACATCAGCAGATTGGAATGCGTCCGAACGTGGCAGCTGCCGATCAAACCAATAATACAGTAGCACCTGGACAACAATTGGTAGGGTATTAACACTCTTTGTTAAGGGTCTAGTTTAGTACTCTGTTTTGATGTCTGCTAATAGGGTTATGAAAGCTTTAAAGCTTATTTATCCTAAGCTTTCTTTTTTGTTGGTTAAGATATAACCATTTTTGCTGGTTTATGTTCAAGGCATGTCCCTTATTTTGTGAACTAAGCAGCTTTTCATAAATCAGTCTCAATCACCATTTCCAAATAAGTTGACTTTTGAACTCTCTAGCTCCAGCAAGAAATGTTTATCTTTGGGTTTAGGTCTCTGGTTCAGGTCTAGGAATGCCTTCAGCAGCACCGAACCATACCCAGCAGCTTTCAGTGCCTATAAATGCGGTATCTATGATGCAAAGCATAGCTGTAACTGAAAATCAAGGAGAACAGACCGAGAGAGTGAATCAGGATGCCCAAACTGATGACGATTCTCCAGCTGGCGAGGAGCTTTATCAGAATATGAATGTATCAAATAGCCAAGTGCATCTTGCAAATGAAAGAGATGTCGAAGCACTGGAAGATTTATACGTGAATAAAGAGATAATCAATGAATCTTTATTATCAAATAAGAGCAATGATTCTACATCAAATGGAAGTACAGGCCAACCAGAACTGTTACAGCAAAACGCTTGTATAGCCCTTCCTGAGCCAGACTATGGACCAGTTGAAAATGATGAACCAAAATGTGATGTGAGCATGATGCAAAGTGAAGGAGCTAGCTGCCTTCAAAATCCCAGCTCTGTCAACAAAGAGAAGGAAGATGAGGACGATAGGGAAGATGTATATTTGACTAGAGATATTATGAAGGAGCAGTACAGACAATCAACAACAGAGATGGATCTGCTTAAGGACTCCTATTGGTTTCAGCCTGGATTACCAAGGTAAGTGTTTGAACTTCCGAGGTATCAATCTGAATATTACCATCATCAACGTCTCAATATATCTCAATTCCAGAATTTTAAAACTAGGTAAAGTCTCAGAGATTAGTGAGGTTTATCCCTTAAACTAGCAAGGTACATTGTTGATATTATTTTGATTGGGATCTCAAGATTGCTACGATAAAAAGAGTAGTCAAAAACTATATTGTAAGTTTAGAAGATGCATGAAGATTTACCATATAATAGTGTACTAGCCCAGTCAGTGTATTCATTTATAGAGCTCTTATCGAAAGTACTTGGAACACCCATGCGGAAGTTGCCCCATTTCTCTGAAAACAATGACGGAAATACACTTTAGCCACCCTAGCTTCCAAAATACAGGTTTCGTCAGACTATTGGAGAAAAATCCAACATTGTTTGAAAGCTTAAATGGAAACTGCTAATATGAATGACAAACATGCAGTTTGTGCTCGAGGACTTTTGGCAGGCCTTTATATTGTCACTGTTATAGGCTTATTATTCATTGTTTGGCTTAATGGTTTTAACCATCAGACATAAGTTGCACACTGGGTTGCACCAAAGAAAGATACAAGTACAAAGTTACATGCTGCTGACATGAAGCATTGTTGCGCCCCCCGTCATCTTGTCACAATGTTATTTCAGGATTAAAATACCATAATGCTTGTGTTATTCCAAACTGCTACATTCGTCACTTTAATTTGAGTTTATTTTATTTAAGTGATCTAGGAATGATTTACAATACCCTTTTTTATTTGGTAAGCATTTTTTAGCCTTGGAACTTCGAGACATTGATAGAACACAGATGCACTGAGAAAATTTCTTGTCGCCTTTAACCTTGGAATTTAACTTTCTGAAAACCATTTTTGGGCCACAAGTAAAAAATTTCGTTTGTCTACAAATGGATATTATAGGCAGGTTCTAGATGCTGTGTAAATTCCAAATCCCTATAGACGTTTTTTATTGTGACGCAATCAATTGAAGGCGTGCTTTGGAACTAATGCTTGTAGCGTGTCCTGTTTATATATCAACTCTCATCAAATCTTTAGGGAAATTGCGGAGGAGGTGCTAGCTCAAGAGAGGCCAGGCAGCTTTTTCATCCGTGAAAGCACAAGTACTCCAGGCTGCTACGCAATGTCACTAAGAGTGCCAGATGGCATTAAAGAATCGGGTATAGCGAATATTCTGATACAAAACACCGCCACTGGAGAGTATCAAATCCCGGTAAATTAAAACTCTTTCTTTTGAATTTATGTAATAGTTTATGGCTGGCAATGCAGAAAAAGCAGTTTCACACCCGGCCTGGTAAACACAGCCTGCGCGCAGACTCGAAGTATCTTAGCAGAACAGGTAAGATACTCCAGAGTCTGCGCGCAGGCCAGGTAAACAGGCCCTTCTCAGGTAAAGTTCAGTATGGTCTGTACAAAACAAAATGGTCTGTTTATCAAGCTATTTTACACGGAGACGGTGCTTTTCTAACAAGAAGGAAAATAAAGCCTCAGGCATAGTTTTTATTGATGATAGTACAGTCTATTTTCTGCAGACCAAAGATGTCCTTTATTCGACTCAGCAAACTTTTGTGAGTAGAAAATGTCCATTGACTGTGTGATTTGATGCGGCCTTGATTGATGAAACTTTGGGGAGGGGTTGGCATTTCAAGGGCTGTTACAAGTTTTTATAAGTCATTATTCTTGGTAAATTTTTTTTTCTACGAATTCTCACAACTGATGCCTTTTGCTCAACGCACCTTATTGATGGTATTACATCGAATTTATCAAACAGAGATAACAGGGAAAGATTTACTGAAACTTTTTTACTTACCCAGCAAAACTTGTTGTAATTTCGGTTGCAAAAACTGAGCATGGATCATTTTCTTATGAGGTGTGTCTGCAAAGTGACCCCAATTTCATATGGTTTTACACCGAGAACATTTCTTGGTTTTTTAGAGTATTGTCTCCTTGGCTCCTTTGGGATGAAACTTTGACTGGAATGCATTGCATTGCTATTCAATGTTATATTCCATTGCAAAACAAAGTCCTTTGCTCAAATTTCAATGCACTAATTAGTTTTATGTGACAGTTTATAAACTTCCCGCTGAATTTGTGCTATTCAAAAAGAAATGTCTTTTTTAAGCACCTTTGTCTTTGCCATGTTCCTATTGAAGGAACGCTCAGGGGTTGCGTTCACACGAGTTATACGGGAACACGAGAAATTGTATCATTTCACATTTTTAACAATCATCTAAGATTATCTATTAGTTAACAATGATATTGTGAAATTTAAAATTGCAGGGATTCAGGCAATCCTTTTCATCAATACCGATGCTAGTTGCCTTCTATGCATCATTCCAAGACGAGCTGCCCGTTAAATTGCTGCTAAGTTATGAGAACAAGCTCATTTTGGGTGAACAGGATGCAGTTGATGGATGCACCAGCCCCGAAGAAGCAATTGCTTTAATCGACGCTGTGCTGCCTAGCGATCCCGACTTCATGAAATATGATAGTTGTGATGAAATACAGCAAGAGCTAGATAATTTATCATCCGATTAGACTGATGTTAATAAATTAGAAGATATCGTGTATAAAATACAGTTCCTAACCTCGTTAGACTGCAGGTAAACATAGTATATTCGAGTCAATGATTATATATTTTATTAGCGTCGTAAGCTCGTATGAATAGCGGTTAAATACAGATCACAATGCATGAGATAATTAGCACAAGTAGTGATAAATAATGATCTTTGGTGCATTATTAGCTGGAGAAAGGAGGTTCGATTAAACTTCTTGAAAAACTTCACAACCCATCTTCAGGCCCATGAGAAAGGACAGGGGCAGATTGCCAAGGCCCCGAGCTGTGAAGGGCCCCAAACAGTTATATCATAGTCCCCAACAATAAAAAACGACAACAACCACAGTTTGAATGTCGTCATTACCATCCCTTTCCCCTTGTTGCCCCAAGCCGGGCCTGCTCAATTTAAATTGCCAAGATCTTGATATTTAATATTTAGAGTATGAAATGAAATTACACACTGAGGGGGTATGTGTACAAAAAATTATCAGCATCTTTACCGTGGGAACCAGAGCCTCAGAGGGCCAGAGAATTAAGAACGGGGGAAGGAATCGCAAAAGAGAATTCCACGGAATTCGTACCGTTTGACCTCTCAACCAATCATGTTCGAGGCATTGCGTCATAACTTCAGCAACAAGCTGTGCTTCGAACTGTGCAGTCATTCTGAAATACTTGAAATAGTATTACCTATCAACGGTGGAAGCAGGCAGAGTTGTAGTGCCCCCTTGTAAATGCCAATTTCTACTTTCTGCTATAATTTTTGAGAAATTTTTCGAGAAGGCCCTGCTGCAATTTTCATAGCAACACTTGTATTTTCATAGTTCCTGGGTGGAACTTTCCTTTTGGCTTTTTTTAAACGTGTTTCACCGGCCATATCCTCTTCTCGTATTTCTTTCTTTTTTAAATTTTCTTGCAAAAGAAAAAGCATCATAAAGTTGTTTAGCATAAACATGCCTTCTTTCCCCTTCCTCGGGCATGTTTCATTGCACGAAACGGAAATGAAACGGAAGCCAAGTGGACATTGATGGACGGAAACTTTCCAAACCGTTTTCCATTCATACCGCGAAGTGGAAATCCACTTTTACTGATTTAAAGACAGGTGTAAACCTCCTTTATCCTCTATCATTAGGTACCAGAAAGTACAAAAAAAATCCTGTATTAATACTCGTTAACCTTAACCATCATTTTAAACTCGTGTTTAAAGGCATTCTGTTTCGTTGTGGATTGGTTAACGAGAACAATAGCTGGAACAATAGCCTAAACACGATTCCAGCGCTCCGCCATATTTGTTACAATGCGATAAATTAAAGGGGGACTGGAAACAATGAAAAATCCCTTTGTTCTTATAATCAATCAACGTCGTGACAGATTGCCTTTAAAAACAAACTAACAGATTTGGTTAAACTAGAATTACGCCAATAGCGGTATATTATGGTAACAACATAGAAGAATGTAATTGTATAAAATATAGAAAATATTTAACTCGCATCAGAAGTCAAACAGTTTCTTAACATGTTGAATGCTTGCAAAGTAGAATAAATAAGATATAATTATCTAGTTAGCAAACTTCAGAAACCATAAGGTAGATGACACGTGTTTATTGCAATCACGTCTGTTATGATATTTTCAAACAGAAATCTTTCTTCTCGTATCTTTGCCGACTGCCTCGTCTTTCCGCGGCTTCTCGTGTGCAATCCATAATCATTGATGTCAAATTGCAGAGATGTCACGATCTCCTTGGCGCCCTGTAGCCAGTTTTCCCGCGCGCATGCTTCTACAGTGCAAAGTTCACTGGACAATGTTCAGTCGTTTTGCCACCACCAAAATTTTCTGGATGTTCACACACTGAACAAGTGAGCAATGTTCAGTGCATGACCAGTGCAAATGTCCAGTCGTTTTGCCGGGGGGGGGGGGGGGGGGGGTCTGGGGCTTAGGGGGGGGGGGACGCGTGAAAACAGGTGATAGGATTAAGATTGTTGTTGAGTTGTGAGTGTTTCTCGAGAATGTTGGTAATCTTACAATCTATTCTGTGCTAATATTATTGAAGCTATGGTCAGCTCATATTGTGCAGTTCAGGGCAGGAGGCATTTTTGTCATCACTCTTACTCGAGAATAAGAATTTTTAGAATTTTGCAGCGCAAATCGCAAGATTTTTTTAGCTTGAATAAATGGTATACCAAGAAGCACACGACTGTAAACAATTATTTTAGGTGTCAAAATGAATCGGGAGATGTTTCTATTTGCGAGAACTTCGGCGTGAGGAATAATGGGTTGGGATAGTTGCAGCTTTCCTTGTCAGACGACATTTGTCACATTTCGGGCTCCATTCGGACCGTTCTATCTCAATGAAAAAACGATTTCGAGAAAGAGCCATGCTTAGCCCCACTAAACGTTTATGCGCGAGAACCATACCCAAAGATACAACGTTTAGCTTGATAAGTTAAGAAAGAGTCAATGCTATGTTTCTCGAAAAAATCAAATTTTGTAGTATGTTCGAGCGCAGTGAGGGCCTTCTAGTATTGCAACCCTGAAAGTCTTGTCTTGACCTGATAAAAGGTTTGAAACGAAGTTGCTGCAAGACGTCGCTTTGTTGCAGTTCGAAGAGCCGAAAAGAGTATGTTTGTTAAACAAACTTGTGAAAGAATTGTTAGAGAAATACAGGAAGAACACACTACAGGGCCCTCTAACCATCATCATTTTGGACAAAGGACCAGAGGGGCCAGAGGAACTTTGCCCCCCCCCCCAAAAATAATTAAAAGCATCAGGAAAATACTTTTATTTTGAAAAAATTTGGCAGTTGCTACACTTGTATATCAGGGCTGCCCTCCTCCCCCCAAAAAAATAAAAAGTTGTATCTCGGTCTTTCTTTGGACAGAACAAAAGTATTCAACGAAGAGACATTTGTTGAAAAGTTGATAGATGAAAAAGCAATAAATAAATCAGTTTCAACTTTGTTTGCATCCACATTTAATCAGCTACCATCTGTTTCAGGGATTTAGAAATGGTTTTTTGAAAGAGTATTTTGTCGTGAAGACAGACTTTGAAACGGAGAATATCGTTGTCTCTGATCCGTGCAAATGAGCAACTTTGTCAAAAGTCCAAATATCATAGTTTTTGAAATACATTTGTCGCCTGTGTGCGCTAGGCTCAACGAAACTGTCTGCTATTGCGAGATGAGAGAATGTTTCATCGTGTCTCCTTACTTAGGTCAAAAGCACAGAACAATAGGCTTCCAGGCCAGAGTTTTTCTATCGACTATGGTGACATATTAAAAAGGCATGTCTTGTTGATGACCTTTTAAATGCTGCTTGGTTGATTGAGAACAAATATTCTGACTTTATTTTCAACAACTGGCGAAAATATGATAGCAGCCAATAGTAGCTGCGAACTAAAAATAAAATGAATTAAGAAAATTTTCGACAATCATCATATTAGTCAATTATCGGCTACAAAATGTTGAAAAGAACAAAACGCTGAGAACCACATGACATGTAATTCAAAATCAAGTAATTCAGCAGCTGTCGCTTTCAAGCTTAAGCTGATGCAGCAAAATCGCAACAGCGTCAAAACGTATTGCTCTTTTTTACAACATATGAAGAAAACTTAAAGGTAATGTGTCTATAAATATGACTGCGTATACCCAAATTGTCAAGTAACATCAAAGAACGGTTTACGATTGGTCAGTATTCTTGAGATGCAAAACTGCTCACATGAAAAGCTAGCCTCGCAGAAGTGTAGATAAACAGAACAACCGTAATGGTTGGGGCGATGACATGAAAAATAGCATGTTTCTAAAAACCCTGCAGAGGTGCTTGCTTTAGCTGGACACATTACATTCAAATTAATCTCAAGGAAATAAACGTCTCCCCCCCAGTGGCCGTTTGGAGGGGTCCAAGGGGCCATGGCGACAGGCCCTGCGCTTATGGTAGCCAGCAAAGGCCCCGGACCTAAGAAAAAGCAAAGGCCCCAGACCTAAGAAAAAAATAAAAATTGTAGAGGAAAAGGGCCACGCAGATTGTTTTGGCCCCTTTCAACAAGCTGAGGCTGAGCTACTACTATAAAATTTTATTTTTAACAATCTTTCATCTCAAAAACGAGTCTTTTGCCATCTGGGGTGCTTGTGAATTTTCAAACTTGTCGACAAAAAAGGATGTCTCATTGACTTTGTTGGCAAACGAAGCCGGCAAATTAAGAACAATCTAGCCTCAGAAAAAAACTTCAATTTACTAGTTCTTATAAAAAAGAGTGTAGTCTGCTTCAAAATGTCTTACTTTTTTTGTATCCCTTAAAATCGTTAACCTTTTTCTACTTCTAAGTTATCTCAACAATTAACCACTCTTTCTGGAGTTAAATAAACTTTATCTGGTATCAAAACCGAAAATATATCACAGGCAAAAGAACTGTTCTCAAAACTGCGTTTCGCTCAAAAGTAGTTTTAATAACCTTGAAGCAGAGAGGCATAATTTGCGAACCTATGCGGCTGCAAGCTCGTTCATAGACAGAATAGAATATTGCCTTTGTATGATGAGCAGTTTGTTAGCGCTGTTCAACTTTTCCGTCACATCCTTAGAAAACCAACATTAAAGTAGACGTGGCCTCTTCTTTTCGGATTCTTCATCACTGTCACTTTCTTCATCAGGATTTTGAAACACTGGTTTTGGTTGTGTCCTGTATGTCAGTTAAGATGATAAAAATTAGCAACATTCAGAGCTTCTTTTGCAAAGCTAAGAATGAGCAAAAGAGATGGGTCGAGTAAGGAGAATTCGAGCAATGAGAGACAGAGGGAGGGGGTGTAGCAAGAGAGAGAGAGAGAGAGAGAGAGAGAGAGAGAGAGAGAGAGAGAGAGAGAGAGAGAGAGAGAGAGAGAGAGAGAGAGAGAGAGAGAGAGAGAGAGAGAGAGAGAGAGAGAGAGAGAGAAAAAACATGATTAAAAAAAGTAAAAAAATAAGGTATTGAAGCTAATTAAGAAAATATTGAATGTGATAATGTAAAATACATGACGAGCTGTCATGTCGTAAATGCGACAGATAATTGGCTAAAGATATCGAAAAAATTATCGACTGAGTCGCATAAGGTATCGGTATTGTCAAAGTAATTATATGTTAAAAAAAGTAACAAAAATTTTAATATTTGAAGTTCTGTTGAGAATAAGAAGGTCTTATGCAATACGTGGTCATCTTTAACCATTGAGTTCATATTACTGCAATAAAGGCAAAAATATAGGTATATCAAATATATGCCAAAAATTTGTCAAGCTTACATAAAATAATACAGCAAACATGAACTGCCATGTCAAACAAAATACCTTTTCCCTCACGTATGCACTCACAGCTTTCGTATTCTAAGACGCTTAAACAATTTCAGATATTTCTAAAAACGGGAGAATCTAACAGATTATCGTTCATATCAAGATATACGAGCGTCACTTATTTGAAAACGCAGATTTGAAACAAAGGTGAGCTTTGCAAAAAGTCTTACCTTGTATATGCCGGTGTGACGTAATGCGGATTCTCCTCTGCTGCCTGTAAACAAAGAAAACAGCATAACAACACATGGCAAAAAATTACTATAGATGTTTTCATATCTGCAAATTTTTCTGTGCGAAATATTTTTGTCAAGAATTTTGAATCCACAGGGACTCCTTATTTGATAACATACTTGTACATCTTTCGAAGGGTACAATTTGCTAGGCGCATTTTGTTTTTCTTTATCGTTCAGGCTTTGCATGTCGCAGTCGGGTTTTTTCCTTTGTCCGTAAAATTGAGCCAGAAAAATACAGCAGTCATACAGCCGTGAGGAAGGCCAATGATAACAAAAAAGTGCCATGCCCAAACCCTGTCCTGTTTTCTTCTGAAACCGGTTTTCAAAGTAAGAGGGAACTGGCCGGAGGAAGGTTTAACACTTTTCTGGGCTCTACTTTTTCGACTAAATTTTCAAACACAAAAGTGAAAATTGTTGTGGAAAATCTTCAAATACGAGCAAGCAAAAATCTTCCATTGAGTGAGGCAACCCTCCGTCCTGGAGTTAGAGAGCATGCGTAATAATAACTTCGTTCTATGCACATGCTCTTGGACGAAGGGGGTGCCTCATTCAAACTTTCGCTTGCCCGCCTCCTAAACGAAAGTAGGTCTTCGAAGCAGATGAGAACAAAAATATCTGTGTAAATTATCTAGTTTGGAAATCTGTAATGAACTCCCGTCCAAAAGCATGTCAAGCTGCCCCTGATACATCGCTTTGAAATAATGTTAATACAGATGTTGTAGATCAAATTCAATTTAGTCTAAAGGGAGAGCATCTGACTTCAGCAGAATTGACACAAAATATTCCCTGTTCAAAATGGCGTTAAACCTAACAGTGCCACAGATTGGCAACAGCTCAACTACAGCAAGGTTGAATTGCAATATAATTCCAATGTCAATGTTGAGACAAGATTCAAGTTTGTTTGGCTCTTGGGTTGCTGAAATCGTGTTTTTATTCGCAACATCGATATTCGGTACCATGGTTAATTCTGTATGTGTGTATACTCTCTTAAAGAAGGAGCAGCTTAGAACAGCAAGCAATGTGCTTCTAATAAGTATGGCGGCGAGTGATGTCTTAACAGGAATACTTGTAGAGCCCATTTCGATAGCTCGAAATATTTACGACATCAAAGGACAAGATTCTTGCAACATACAGGACTTTAATACACATCTTGGATCACTTTCTGTCGCCATTTCATTCTTAAATATCGGTATGTTCGCATGTGACCGACTCTTGGCGACCACATGCCCTTACTGGTATTTTGGGGCTGATCTTTATAGAAAATATGTAATCGGAGTTCTGGCTGCCTGGTTTTTGGTATTGCTCAATGTCATTTCAGCTTATTCCCGTCTGATTTCCGAAAAAGTGCGGAGTCGTATCACCACCTCCTTATTCTTCATTTCAGCTCTTGGGACTCTCGTATCATACACGGTAATATTTTGCAAAGTAAGATCAATATCTAGAGCTGCTTTAAAAGTGACCCCGTTACAAACTAGAACGGAAAATTCAAAGCCGAAAACTGCGCATTTTAACAAGGCAGATCAGCATGTAAGAATCGAGGTGGAATCAGAAAATAAAATGGACGAAGAAAGAAAGCCAGACACTGATGATGATATCAAACAAACAGGGAATCGGGTTAAGAAGTTACGTTTTAAAACATACACGTCCTTTTTAATCTTTGGCGCACTAGTGATATGCTACATGCCCCACATAATATTTGTTAATGTTCTGAGAAACCGTAAGATGGATATCGCAACAGAATACATTGCTAAAAGATGGGTGCTGAATATCGTTATCTTAAACAGCTCTGTTAATCCGGTAATTTACTGCCTAAGAGTAAAGTCGATTCGCGATCAGGTAATAAGAATATGTAAGGCAATTTTCACGCGCTGAAAACACGTAATCGACTTTAATCGTACACACTGGTTGGATGACTTTTGCAGGTGTCATTATCAGCAAGAACTCGTTGTCTTCCAACATAACTTGAGCATGATCAAATGAAATAACTAACAACACCCCGATCTCAGAAAGTTTCGAGAAAATAAGAATTTCCACTGTCACAGAAACAAGGACCGTATATGGATTTAATACTGTATCATACAGATGTAGCCAAATATGGAAAAGTACTTCCCCATTTTGCAAATATTCAAGAAAAAATCTCAGAATTTACATCGTTCAACTGCACTTGTAATCTTTGCAAGATATGCGTTAGCAACATCGGTTATATTTGATTTACATTATATTTAGCGTTGGTAATTCAAATTAGTTGGTTTTAATTAGCTTGAGTATGCATAGCTAGAAATAAAGGATTGGCCAAAGTTTCTAAACCTCTATGAATTGATGAAAGAGATTCGAAGAACTCATCAATTCAATCAAAAGGTATGTGAATGCGTTAAAGACTAGACATGAAGCAGAAATGTTGATCATTGGCAGTTTTCAAAGGAGAAATATTTATATGTATTCAAATGCTCTCTCCCTCTGAAATGATGAACAAGAATCGAAAAAAGTGTCAAAGGCCTGTATAATTACAGTTAAAAAAAAAGGAATATTCAACTTAAATAACACCGTAGGTCATGGCGTCGCCACAGGGAAAATCGAATGCAGGGCTGATTTAAACAAACGTCCAACGTCAGTTTGTGTTGGACGTTCATTCTTTGTAACGCACTATGACAAGGAAACGAAAACTTAGCAAATTGAAGATTACCATGAGAAAAGACATTTATTACGAGCATTAGATCTGAGCAGAATGAACTGCCACAATGATAAGGGGCTACATTTATGCTAATAAAGACAATTAACGGCTTAAGGTGCTTGGTAACTATCTTTACGTTTTTTATGTCACAAAGAATATAACAAGGAATTTGTACATATATTTGTGCCTCATGCAGCGTGAAAAGACATTACGTCATCTGGTATTGCTACATACGACACAATGCTACACTACAATTCAACTAATATTAAAAAAGGAAACAGATACACAACGATAGGGGGACCGCTATAAACAATAGGCTTAATTTATTCGTTGGGCGAAAAAATATAAGAAATTTTAGCTTCAACTATCAGCTTATTTGCAATTCTTAAATGGAAATATGGTGAATGGGAATAACCCGAAAAATAGTAGAAGGACGCTAACAGTAGAGTCAAACGCTACACTGTGATTAGGTTTTAACACATTCTTGATCGTATTTAAGTGTTACAAGAAAGCTATGTTCAAATATGTGTTTCTTCTTTGCTTTCAAGTCTCTATGTTTTATCACATAACTCTAAGTTAAAATAATATCACGTGATCTTCTATAGCTGTTATTAATATTAACTGACCTATTGCTGTGATATACCTTATACAGCCAGGCCTGCTGAGAGGAAGGGGGGGGGGGGCCTTTTTGTCCTAGGCAAAAAGCTATAACCAAGCTTCTAACAATAATAAAAACAATAGCAATAGCATTTTGACGCCATTATGTGCACCATCTTTCTTTTTTCCCCAGGCCCCAGAAAAGCGTATTTACATCAGCATGTATATTAAAAGCAAATTATGGAGAAAGAAGTTGGCATTTTAAGAATTTTAAGTGGACAGTGTCCGTGAAGTGGTTAAAATCGTAAAATGATCCTAAATTCATTAACAGGAAATTTTGACAAGAGATCATTTTACATAATAGAGAAACTGGTGATGATCACAAATAGCATTGAGATCAATTATTGTTTGCACAAAATTAAACAATAAATTACAGATGAGGCAAACAGGTTATCAAGAAGAGAAATATTAAAAATTATAAAAAGTAGTTAGATAAGGAGTGTTTATTAAAAACCATACAGAAAATAAGCCCAGCTTGTCAGAAAACTGGGACCCAGTTTGTTTTGAGTCCAAAGTAAAAAAGCGGTTGTTGGTATATTATAGTCACTCCCCTTGAAGACACGCTACCGGTAACAGTCACATAAAATTCAGACTCATATATGCAAGACTATTAAATTCATCTTCGCCACATTCCTTTTTCAATCACAAATTCTCAAGCAAATTTGGTGTGACTACAACCGGGGTCTACTGTCCATACACACATGAATAAACACCGAAGGATCACAACATGGGCGGTGCCAGATGGGGGGGCTGGGGGGGGCTTAGCTTCAGCCCCCCCACTTTTTAACAAAAAGTGTTTTTAAGAGAATAAAAAGAAAAGAAAAAATAGAAACAGAAGAAAAGAATAGTGCGATAAATCTTTTTACAGTTTTGTTTAACTTCCAAGGAATAAGCCGGGGTCTATGGTGCCTCATAAAGTAACGAATTCCATATTTTAAGACTGGAATTAATCAAACATAAAAAACCATGCTTTAAAAGTAGCAAAATGTTTGCAAAAAAATGACTGCAATGAATATTCTGGAATGTATTTTTAGCTAATCTAAAGGGCATGGTCGCAAAAATTATCTGCTCGCTTCGCTCGCAAGGAAGCCTTATCTTTAGATATATCTAAGGCCTCTGACAACCTCTCGCCGGCCTGCCAATGTACCGTTAGCATAACAAATGCCCTCGTAAAATCATAGGCATAAAATATCGTGAAGCATTTTAATGCGTTTTTCAAAAGTTGGTTTTTTAGTCTTATAACGTTTTCGACTCGAACCACCTCACTTTGAATTTATTGTCACCGCCCCTGCACAAGGATGAAAAGGATCCTTGACAATGTCATCAACGACCGCGTGATGTACATCTGTCAACCAGTGGAAAGACTCGCACGCTGCAGAACATGAAGATAATTTTCCACAGCCATAAACTGCTCCTTTTGCTTCTCAACAAAGACAAAGCATGGGTGAAAAAGGAGGGCAATGGTCTATTTTCATCGTTCAATTGCACTTGTGATCTTTGCAAGGAATACGTATGCAACATCGGTTGTATTTGATTTACATTAAAATTCAGCATTGGTAATTTAAATTTGTTGGTTTTAATTACCTAGAGTATAGCTAGAGATTGTACCAACTTCAATTAAAGAAAAAACGTCACAATGGGCAGCTTCG